GGCAAAAACAGCTTTTCGTAAACAAGTTGGAGCTGAGCTTTCTGTTGTGGGTACGTGCTGTTTCTTGACATGTAAGGTTTTAATGTTTGATTTCTGTGTAATCTAGTTGCCTAAGTCGGAGCGCAAGTTGGTTTGGATGTTTCCGCGTTTTGTGTCGGTTCGAGAGGCTTTTGCTGTGGGCCATTTCCCTTCGAGAACTCTTACAGCTGGAACTGTCGCTAGATAACGGGGAAGTGCAGGGGCAGTGCATACGTTTTCGTATTTGTGTCTGAGTGTGTTCTAGAGTTCAAAGTTGTACTGTATCTTTGTAAACAGGAACAAGGTTTTGTTTTTGGACGATGGATTAGTAGCGTACCATCTACAAGTTTTGGAGGTCTGTCTAAAGTCACGTGCAGAGTGTTATTTTTTCGGAAGCCACTGGCATGTTCTTTATCAGAACGAGTGGATTCCTCTTTTGAGCCAAAGACGTAGGTGTTCATTTCGAAGTGCAGTAGGTGTTTACGTACTGAATGCATCTTGCGTGGTTTTTTAAATCAAAGTTTTTTGGAAAATTTGGGTTGGGGATATCTGGTAACACAACGTGAGGGGCAATTTTTATTTGCTTGCTTCATTTTGTCGTTTTCAGCGCTGATATGATCTGGTTTGATCATGGTTCATACCTTCCTGTTAGGTATCAGTCACGAAGTATAAACGCAACGTACAAAATATACCTCTGATACTTTCGAACAGAGGATTTTTTCCTAAAGGTACTCAAAAAATCCTTATTTAAAATTCTAAAATAAATTTCATGTCCATGGAAATGAGCAATTAACGCGGTTGTTCATCCTATTTCCGTAAAAAATGTTAGAGCTTTTCACTACATGCGTAAGTTAGACTAGCACACCAATTATGAGAGCTTTTTAGTGTGCTGAGAAGCCAGAAGCGAGAAGGCAAGAAAAAAGTCCGTTTTGTAGCGGTTTCAGCCAGATATTAATTCATTTTGAGCAGGTTTAAAACGCGAAGTATTACTGATATTATTCTGGACTGCTAATCTACCTGTTGCGGATGATACATAAGAGGGTGAATGGGTTAAAAGCTATAAAAGAAGTCCAAGTGTCTTATGCAATAAAATACATTTAAATTCGACCTTTTCAAGTTTTGTCGCGGAGCACAAAAGCATGTCGGCACTCTGCATTTTGAAAACGTGTTTTTGCTTCATCCGTTTTCAGCTTCGGTTTTGAATATCAAGTTCTCGAAATAAGTGCTGGTCCACATACTGCATTTTTAAACGCAACACGTCTTGGCACTACGTTCCTCATAGTTATTCTCCTACGGTAACTACGAGAAACTTTGAAGTGCTAATTTCGCGAGCACTGAAGTTGAGTTCTGCGACTCCCTGTGTTAGGTTTCCACAAAAATGAATTTTTTGGACTGGTACCCTCCTGTCAAGAAAAATGCGCTTACTTTAGGGAAGGTTATTTTGCCTAATAATGGGAGAAGTTAGCTATACACATTTTGCAAATTATGATGCGCGCAAAACAATTTCGCGTTTTTCAGCCTCAAATACTGCTCAAAAACACTACGACACTTTTAAGATACTTATGATTTTTAGTTACGACTGCTCTTTCACTAACTTGACCATCTCTCTCTCTCTAAGAGCGTTCTTGCAACAAGAACTCAGAAATTGTTTTCAGTGGCTCCTCCGCAAAATCCCTTAATACTATTTTCCACGAATGCAGTGGCCACTTTTCATCGTCAACTGTCTTTCATATCGTTTTGATCTAAA